ACATGTATGAAATTCTCAGTTTAAATATATGGCTTAAGCCATATATTTAAATCCTTGAGAGGGAACTCTCAAGGTTTGGTTTTGGACTTTGGAACAGAAAGGACAGATTTCCCTTGTGTATAGGCATCAAGTGTGGTGACTTCTTATGACAGCCCTTAGAAGTTAGTGCAACAGCCCTGGGCTGAGGCCAAGATGGAAAGATGACTCCTCTCTCCAGCCTGTCTCCTCACTCAGCATCCCACATTCAGGGAAGAGTTATTTTCTCAGCAGATTTAACCGTCTTCTAGAAACCCCCAAGACATCCCAGCTAGATGTCAAGAGTAAGAACATCTGATCTGGGCAGCTGTGGTGCACACCTTTAATTCCAGCTCTAGGGAGGCGGGGCAGGCTGAGCTCTGTGAATTTGAGCCCAGTCTGGTCTACAGATTGAGTGACAACAATCAGGGCAATATCAAAAAACAAACGAACAAACAAAAAGCAACAAAGGATAAGAACACCTAATTAAGAAATTTGAAGATAGGCTGGGTGGTGGTACCACGTCTTTAATCCCAGCACTCTGGAGGCAGAGGTAGAAAGATCTCTGTGAGTTTGAGGCCAGCCTGGTCTACAGAGTGAGTTCCAGGGCACCCAAGGCTGTTACATAGAGAAACCCTGTCGAAAGAGAGAGAGAGAGAGAGAGAGAGAGAGAGAGAGAGAGAGAGAGAGAGAGAGAGGAGAGAGAAGAAGAGGAGAAGAGAAGATGAAGATATTTGACCCCAAATATATATAGACATTTGAATTTTAGGCAAAACTAGTTTCCTTTGAGGAATGCTAATTGGTAAAGTGGTTTTGAAATTTTTGAGGGATTGAGTTCTTGGTGAAACTCAAGAGGGGGATTTTGAGGGGGAAAGAGCTAAAATCAGAGGTTTACTCTTTAGCGCCCTTAAGAGGAAAGTTAATGGCATATTGAATATTAATCATTAAATTCCCTGACAATTTGTTATCTATTATATACAGGTCCAAAAATTTATAGTTTCAATTCTGCAAATGATTCTGGAGGTTCTGCAAATCTGGACAAATCTATTTTGAAAGTGAGTAAGCAAGGTTTTCCTTCATTTCCTGAAGCATTAAAGACGTTAAAGACAAACTTGTCTGCAGTTAAGAGAGCTTGCTGCTCTTGCAGAGGACCCAGCATGTTTTCTCATACTTACGCTAAAATTTGGGGTCTGTTGGAAGGAATATAAGAAAACTGTATGATTTGCCAATAATATTTTGATAATTTAGTTTCTAATTACTGTAAATATTCTTGACCTCAACAGGTGGTAATCAATAATAAACTAGAGCAAAGAATTATTGGAGTGATTAATGAGCATAAGAAACAAAATAATGACAAGGGAATGATTTCTGGAAGACTTTCTGCCAAAAAATTACAGGTATTCACCACCACCCCTCCTTCCCTTCCTCTCTCCTTCCCTCCCTCCCTCCCTCCCTTCCTTCCTTTCTCTTTCTCGTTTCTTTGTTTCTTTGTTTTTCAAGACAGGGTTTTTCTGTGTGTCACCCTGGCTGTCCTGGAGCTTAGACCAGCCTCAAACTCACAGAGATCCACATGCCTCTTCCTCCCAAGTGTTGGGATTAAAGGTGTGCGTCACCACTGCCCAGCTTATTTTTCTTTTCTTTGAAGCAGGATGCCTCTGTAGCCTAGGCTGTCAATACCTGACTTACTGGGACTATTTTCCTCCGTCCAGAGGTAGGCATTTGTTGGTGATACTTTAGAGACAGCCCTAAATGTAAAAGTGAGTCTTTTAAACTTCCATTGGGGTCACATGTAGATGGTTTCTAACTGCAAGCAGGGAGAGAATTGTCTCTGATACAAGTGCAGACACTGAAATGGTGACATACACAGTAAGTTATATATCCGAGCTACGGCACTGAGTGCCTGCATGTTACACTCTGCCCTGCATTTTGCTTATATGCCATGACATGTTAATCCTACAAAGCTGATGCAATTGATCTTTTCAAAGGAAAGACTTGAGACTTGGAAAGATGCCACATTATGGCATAAAGTTATTGATTAGTAAGTATCTGAATAAGCTTAAAACCAGTTCTGCTTAACTTTTTAAATATAATGGTAGAGAGGTATATTTAAATACTTTATACAGAGATATGTTTGTTAAAACACTAAAGAAAATCTTAGGAATTCACATAGAAAAATGTGGACTTAAATATATATCTAACTATTAAAATTATTAAGGAAGGGTTCATTTCTACTAAGTAGACATAAGTCAGACACATGTTGAGAGTTTATGAGAAATTAAGAAAAGGCTGAATAAGGAAGTTCCTAACAATCTGCTGGGCTTGGTGGCCCACGCCTTCGATCCGAGTACCACGTAGAGAAACCCTTTCTTAGAAAAACAAACAAACAAGCCTGGAGGTGGTGGCGCACGCCTGTAATCCCAGCACTCGGGCGGCAGAGGCAGGCGGATCTCTGTGAGTTCGAGGCCAGCCTGGTCTACAAAGGGAGTTCCAGGACAGGCTCCAAAGCTACAAAGAAACCCTGGCTCGAAAAACCAAAACCCTGTAATTCCCAAATTTTTATTATAATGAGCACATTTAACTTTAACTACCAGGTTAAACTACCTTCCCAACCTCCCTCCCTTTCTCTTTCCCTCTTTTTGGGAGTGCTAGGGGTTGAGCCCAGAGTTTTTAACATGTTAAGAAAACACTCTCCCACTGAGCTACCTCCCAGCATTCCACAATAAAATATTCTTGAAATTACAGTGTATCCATTTTTGATTTAAAATTAATGAGAAAATGAAATTAGGAATTAAAAACAAAGATCAAATTAGCAAATGTAACTTATATTTCTCTTTGATAGGATTTATACATGGCTTTACAAGCATTTTCCTTTAAGACTAAGGATATTGAAGATGCTATGACCAATACACTCTTGCATGGAGGTGACCTTCATTCTGCCTTGGATTGGCTCTGCTTAAATCTTTCAGATGGTAAACAGTATTGTCATTAATTATTTCCTTGTCTAAAACAGACTTTGTCTTTAGTTTGGGCTTTTTTGATTTGGTTAAAAAGTGGGTGTGTCCTTGAGTAAATAATAGCAGAAGGATATAGTTATAACCTTTGGTAAGGACCTAAGGTACAGATAGCCTTTGTAATTGATGGCGGATATAGCCACAAAGCCAACAAGTGAGGTAGGTTAAAATCTTTTTAAAGAAAATTTCAGAGTTTAACTAGTGTGGTAAAATAAATAGCATCTAAAGGTGGGCCAGATGTTACCTGATGAGGGCACATGCTTCTAATTTGACACGGAAAAGCTGATTTTTCCTAGGATCTCTCTTAGGAGGTGAGGGAAGAGTGGAATTAGATGCTCTAAATCTTGATGGGGTTAATGTGTATACTAAGTATTTGTGGTTTGGTGTATGATATGTATATCTATCTTGAACACATTTTGATTTAAGATGCACTTCCTGAGGGATTCAGTCAAGAATTTGAAGAGCAACAGCCAAAAAGTAGGCCAAAATTCCAGTCTCCACAGATACAGGCTACTCTTTCACCCCCACTGCAGATGGAAACCAGAAGACAGGAAGAGCCTAAAGTTAAGGTAATTGAAGAATTAAATATTTAGGGGGTTGGAGAGGTGGCTCATTGATAAAGAGTACTTGCTGCTCTTTTAGGTGACCTGAGTTTGCTTCCCAGCAACCATATCAGGCAGTTCATAGCTGCCTATAACTCCAGCTCTAGAGAATCTGATACCCTCTTCTGGCATCCACAGGCACCAACACACATGTACACATTTAAAAAATCCTTTTTATTTAAAATAAAACTTTAGGCTATAATTCTATCATTCGTAAGGCAGAGGCAAGAGGATCACTAGGATAAGGATAACTTGGCTATGATGTAAGACTCTGTCAACAAAGAGCATGTCTTAGTTAGGGTTTAACTCTTTATACACATTTTTATTAAGCCTCTGCTTTAATCATGCTTGATAATGTCATATTGGTTGAAGCAAGTCACGTGATCAAACCCAAAGTGTCTACATGACAGCATGAATACTGGGACTCTGGGAGGTGTAGTTCGTTGTGGCATTTCTCTTAAGTACTCTATGTATCATCACATGCCTTGGGAAACCATGCTTTCAGCAACAACACTAGCTTCAAGGGTGCTGTCTAAGCGCACTTAGATAGAAACAAGAAGGCTAGCGAGCTCTTCTCGTTGATTTGTTTAGTATTCGGTGGGAACTGGCTACGTACCTCAGGCTGAGCTAAAACTAACAGTCTCCTGCCTCAGCCTCCCTGGCACTGGGATTATGAGCAAATGAGTAATCATATTCCTTGTCTTTTGTAAGGTTAGACTTCTTTAAAAATGTTTAGCTTGTTTGTCTTTTGCATATTAAATAACATGACTTTTGCAATTTTTCTGTCTGCTGTTTTTGTAGTATGAAGAACTTATAAAATCAGCTTAATAGTTGGGCAACTTTCTCTAACTCGGTCTTTCAGACATATGCTTTCTCTTTTCAGCCAAAAAAGGAAGAAAAAAATATGGAGATAAATATGAAAGAGTGGATTTTGAGATATGCTGAGCAACAAAATGAAGAGGAAAAGAACGAGAGTTCTCCAAGCTTAGATGATGAAGAGAAGTTTGACCCTGTGAGTAGAAGCCTGTATCCGGCGTCTAGTGTCCTGCGTACTGCCAGGCACAGTGCCGACCCTTATTTACTCCTAAGTCTTTTCTTAGTTAGCTTTCTATTTCTGTGATAAACACCATGACCTCAAACAACTTGGGGAAGAAAGGGTCTATTCTAGTTTACAGTCCATCATGAAGAACAGTCAAGGCAGGAACTCAACTTGGGCAAGAAACTGAAGGTAGGAACTGAAGCAGAAACCATGGAGGAACACTCCTCATGGCTTGTTCAACCTGCCTTCTTATATAACCCAGGACCTGCCCATGGATGGCACTGTCCCCAGTGGGCTGAGGCCCTCCACGTCAATCATTAATGGGGGGGGGGGGGGGGGGGGACAAACAACACCCTCCAGACTTGTAGAGAGGTAATCTGATGGAATATTCTCTCAGTTGAGGTCCCTTTCCCAGATGACTCTAGCTTGTGTCAAGTTGGCAGAAAACCAACCAGATTTCAATTCTTCCAAAATTCACCAATGATTTTATTGGTCTTCCCTACAGACCGTGAGTGAGGAGATACAGGAGGGAACATGGATGACCCTAAAGCAGCCATGCTGGGTTGTCTACACCTACATGGATGGCGGTTCCCATGTGTCTGAGTAGATGCAGTCCCCTTCCTTAGTATTCCCATCCTACCTACTCTAGCATCTCCACTAAACCTGGAGACCACGTGAAATTTGAGCCAAATTGCATGCAAATAACTGGGAGAAGTGGCTGGAATGCCATTTCAGGGTCCAATGACCCAGCAATTTTTTTATACAGATACTGACTTAAGAAAAATGAGAAGTTCGTATACAATCTTTAATAGCCACTTTATCACAGTAGCCAAATACTGCAGGCAGCCCTGTCTGACCTAGGCAAATGGGTAAAGAAATCATGATAACCAGAGTTACAAAGTAGTATGTGTTATATGATGGATCCATTTGGGGTTTTTTTTCTATTTTTTAAAAATATTTATTTATTATGTATACAGTATTCTGTCTGTGTGTATGCCTGAAGGCCAAAAGAGGGCACCAGATCTGATTACAGATGGTTGTGAGCCACTATGTGGTTGCTGGGAATTGAACTCAGGACCTTTGGAAGAGCAGACAATGCTCTTAACTTCTGAGCCATCTCTCCAGCCCTGATGGATCCATTTGTGTAAAAGAAAAAATATTGACTCACATTTGTAATATATTTGAAAAGATACACAAAAGCTTTTGCTAATGACTAGAACTAGAGTGGTAGGGAGGAGTAGTCTGCACATACAGATTTTCAATTATGGGCCTGTATTAGGATCATATAAATATATAACTAAATGTAGGGCAGTGCAAATCCACTTTGTGACTCTTCTGATTGGAGCATTGACTCCAACTTTAAAGAAGTGAAATTTGAAGGATGCAAATTTGAAGGGTTCAGATGGGCAAAGAGTGATAGTAATGTGGTTCAAACGTGTAAAAATAATGTGATCACGGGTGTAGTTTAACTACAAGGCTCCCTTAGGCATTACAAATATGTGTACACATGCAGAAAACAAAAACATGGCTGAGTGCTGGCAGGTATGAGTACACGGCTGAGCTCATGAGACTGGAAGAATGTGACTGCTAGAAAATGAATTTGACAGCTGAATGGTCAAAAGCCAGTGCGAGCTTGAAGGCAGTGACTGCAAAAGGAACTTGACATTTTAGGTCAGGTTTAGCAGTGTCCAGGGTGGTTTGCCATATTGAGTGGTACTGGGGATACTTTATTTTTTTTTAATATTTATTTATTTACTATACATACAATATTCTGTGTGTATGTCTGCAGGCCAGAAGAGGGCACCAGACCTCATTACAGATGGTTGTGAGCCACCATGTGGTTGCTGGGAATTGAACTCAGGACCTTTGGAAGAGCAGGCAATGCTCTTAACCACTGAGCCATCTCTCCAGTCTCCCTGGGGATACTTTAGAGCCCTTCCCTACCTTGTTAGGTGTCGGACTTGCGCTTGTGGACTGAGATCAGAAAGGGGACGGCTGTTCTAAAGCAAGAGACAGCAGAAATCAGCAGTTTCTCAGATATGAAGGCTCAAGAACATTTCTTCAAAGAAAACATACAAATGGCCGATAAGCCATGAAAAGATATTCCACATCATTAATTTCCAAAGAAGTAAAAATCAAAACCATGGCAAGATTCCTTCTGACTCATTGGGATAACCAATTCCAAAACACACACATAAAAAGAAAAAAAAAATTGCTGGAACGGTGGGGATAGGAACCGTGTGAACTGGTGGCAGAATGTAAAATGCAGCTATTGTGGAAAATAGTTTGACAGTTCTTTAGAAAACTGAAAATAGAATTGCCATGTGTTAGGGTTCTCGAAAGGAACAGATCTCTCTCTCTCTCTCTTTCTCTCTCTCTCTCTCTCTCTCTCTCTCTCTCTCTCTCTCTCTCTCTCTCTTTCTCTCTCTCTCTGTGTGTGTGTGTGTATGTGTGTGTGTGTGTTTAAAGGGAATTTATTAAGCTAGCTTACAGGATGTGGTCCAGGTAGTCCAGCGATGGCAGTCTCATGACAGAAGGTTGAAAACCTGGTAATTGTTTGGTCCACTAAACTGCATGTCTGTGAAGTTCCAATCTGGTGTTGAAGTCTGGGGAGAATTCCTGCAGAAGTGCTGATTTTCAGTCTGTGTTAGAATCCTGAAGGAGTTAGTTAGTGCTGGTCATAGGAGCAGAGTGGACAGATCTGCCAGCAAGAATGAGGGTGGGCAGGCCAAAGGAAAGCTTCCTTCTTCCTTGTCTTTTTCTCTGGGCCACCACCATATGCCCAGATTTAGGGTGGGTCTTCCTTCAGATAATCTGACTGAGAAAATCCCTCACAGGAGTGCCCAGAAGCTTGGGTTTAGTTCATTTCAGATGTCAAATCAGCAACCAACATTAGTCATCATGCTATATGTCCCAACAATTCCACTTCTAGGTACATACCTAAAGCTTTAATTAAGGTCAGGGTCTAGGAAAACATCTCTGTACGTCATGTTTACAGCAATAGCTAGAATGTAGAAGCCATCTAATATCAACCAAAGCGTAAGTCAGTAAATAAAGAATGTGTATACAGAATCGAAGGACATTCCTGGCACACAGGATATCTTTGATGGATCTTTACGACATTATGCTAGTAAGCTAAGCCAATCACAAAAGTCAAACTCTTATATGAGGTCCCTAGAACAGTCAGAACCATAAAGATGGAGAGTAGAACACCGTTTCCCAGGGGCTGATGGAGAAAGAGGAAAGGGGCGATTTCTGCTTACTGAGTATAGTGTTCACTTCTACAGCATACAAGGTTAGCCATCTTGTGGTTGAGGTGGCTGCCAATGACATGAACGTTTTACAGCACTGAAGAGAAAAAAAATGGCAAGATGCGTAAGTAGAGGGATGGCGGTATCGGTGTCTTATAGAGGAAAGTGGAAAGAATCAGTGTGAATGGGGTGGATTTGAGGCAGTAGCTAGGCCTCCTTCTGTTACTCTACCTTGGTGTGTCTACACACTGAATGGCCCCAGCAGTTGGTAGTTGTGCTTACTGAGCTGTGTTTTCCTGTGGTGATAAGCACTATATATCACAGCAGCACCCTCGTGGGCCTCATTCTGCCACGGGCTGTGTGCTATCATCTGCTGCCGCTTATTACCCTAGGAGAAAGGTCGTCATTGGCGTTGAACATTCTGCTCTCTAGCTTTTGCTACAGAGTCACAACCTTTTGTTTTCTCAGTTTTCCTCCACCCTTTTATGTCTCTTACATTTGTCTTGTTTTTCTCTGAGAAATTCTAGAAAGTGATTTGCTAGTCTAAACTTCGTAAGTTCTGACACAAAGTAGTGGTCACAGATAAACTGTTCTTAGACTTTTTTATTTTCTCTTCATTATTTTACTTGGAAAAGAATCAAAGGTACTTGAACCTTTCAGCCAAACTTCTGGACGCAAAGGAGCAAGCAGCATCCTTTAAACTGGAAAAAAACAAGCACGGCCAGAAAGAGGCTCAAGAGAGAATACGGAAGTTACAAAGAGGTGAGCACTTTCCAATTTTTACTTGTAGAAATGTAATTGTGTGCCTGTAGTTTGCTAACTGTTTAGACTTAAGATTGTTTAACTTTGCCTATAACAAGCCAATTGATAAATACTGTTGAGTTTGTGATGGACCTTACAATCTGTTACAACCTCCCAAGTGTTACAACATAAAGGAGCAGCATCCGGTTAAAAATGTGTTGTAACCAAACTTTATTTGTGGACAGTAACATATATACTTCATATAATTTTCAAGACACCAAGTGCTATTTTTTGTGTATGTCTAGTATATTCATGTGTGTGCTAATGCACTTGCCCCCTTGTGCACATGTGGAAGCCAAACACCAATAACAGGCATCATCCTCTCCCCACCTTATTTTGTTGTTCTTTCTCTCTCTCTCTCTCTCTCTCTCTCTCTCTCTCTCCCTCCCTCCCTTTCTC